TTTGTTGTCTATTTCTTCTCTCTCTCTCTCTCTCTCTCTCTCTTTTTATTTAAAGAAGTAGAGTTTGGAAACTCCTGTGGATATCTCAGTGTAGTTTTGTTGCCAACAAGCTGGGGGATGCAGGCTGACATGCAGCCTGTTTCTAATAGCACACACACTGTTTCTTTATTTAGAGCCTCTTTACCAGTATCAATTAAACCCCAGTTAAATTTGACACATCTTAACCTTGCGTTGGATCCAATTCATTGCTACAGCAGAACCCATATGGCACTGAGACAGTTGCAGGCATCAATTCATTGCTTATGTAGAGTTACTGGCTGAATGCCAAGCAGTAATCACTGCTTTTTGTTAATAGACATGTTTGCTTTTGCAGTCATTTCTATACACAGTGCTCTAGATTAATTAGAACAAAATCTGTCATCCATCTAAAAAACAACCAGAACACTATCTCTCTGTATTTTTTTCCCTTCAGATTTAAAGAGAGATGAATTCAGGCAAAATAGATTTACTTTAGTCTGGAATAACCTATTGTGCTTTGCTGAACATATATGTATTTGTTATTCAGATTTAATAAATAATTTAGTAGAAAGAGAACTGGGAAAAAAGAGCTGGAGATCTAAAATATACACATTCCAGAGATGAGTGGATTTCCTCAGAGTGAATTTATATTAAGTGGGAGATGGTATCCTTCAAAAATTAATATAGCATGTGTTTTTCATTAAATAAACAGATTTGTCATTTTATTGAAATATTATGTTTTTTCATAGGCGATCCACTCAAATCATTAGTGTGCGTATGGCGATCACATGGCAAGATTGTATAATCATCCCTGAGGTTTTAAAATGGGTCCTTCCATATCCTTTTGAATAATGCCCATTTATCTGTTTGAAATTACATCAATGTTAATGGACAGGTATGTAAACAGCTTTTACAAAATATTTCCTAAGTTACTGATACCAGATTTTAGACCAGATATGATTGTCGTGATTAAATACCGTTCTTTTCCTCCTGTGTGTGAATAATCAACACAAGACTGGTATAGCCAGTTGTGCTCTCTAAACCATTCTGACTTCTTGACTACTGCTTTCAGACCACTTTTATTTTAAATCCAGGTCGAACACTATGGTGGACACTATCACTTTTCACAGACAAAACTTTAAAGTACATTGTTGAATTGCATTTATTATGCAATATGTTTTGTACTCAACTTAGTACTAGAGTATTTTACAAGAATAAAATAGTGCCACAATGGTGTCATCGTACAATCTATTTACCTCTCCAGGTTATTACACTGGTGCATTACAGCACCATGATATCAGAAGACCCCATGTTTTTGGGACAATGAATTGGTGTGTCATGTGTTGATTTTTAATACGGCTATGAAGAAATTGCTATAGTATTTTTCATTTCCACTCTTTTTGTCTACATTCATAGCAAACTATTTTGATCCTTGTGTTGTTCAAGGATCAGTTAGATGACATTTTAGCATGTTTGATTTGTCAGGTGCTTTTGAATTAAACCCTCCCCCTGCTTGCACACTTGAAAATAGGACAACAGACATGGGGCTTCATTCAAAGCCCACTGGAGCCAATGGGAATCTTTTAATCTACTTCAATGGGTTTTGGATCAGGCCCACTATTCTGAAATTTTAGTATTGCTTTCCAAAAGTACATTAGACTATTGTTAGTCAAATTGATGAATTTTGAATAGCTGTCTAGTACTCTTTAAAATAATCCACTATTAACATATTGAATACTGCATACATTTTTAAGTGTTAATGATTTAGATCAGTTTTCATTTAACAAAATCAATAAGCTAAGTTTGTAGCCTGTTATGTATTTCTGTTTATTTTAATGATTTAACATGACTTGTACTTTAGTATAAGATTATTTAAATAGAAATCCTTGCCTCCTCCTAAATCTCTGTAATCATGTTACTTGTTATATGTTACATATAACTTGGTTTTGGATGGAAGAAGAGTGGAAAATCTACGTTTGCTGGAAGTTAAAATCCTTTTCAAACTTTTTTTTAAAGTGTTCAGTTTATGTTTTAGTATTCCAATACTGTTGGTCCATTGTTTGATACTACAGCTTTATCAGCAGAATGTGCGGCAGATGGTTTACATTTGCATTAGCCTTCTGGAAAAGGAATAAGCTACCACCAACATAAGCTGCAGCTTTTCTTTTCAAAATTTATAACAAATTGGTCAGGATGGCATTTAAAAAAACAAACAACCAACATTAGCACCACTATCTCCCATTCCTTTTTTGAAGAGGAATAATGACTCCCACTCCAACACTGTCATTTGCACATGTTTTCCCCCAAAAATGTTTGTTAAAATGATTTAGGTGTTTCATTATGCAAAATGACTTTTATAAAAAGACCTTCCTTTTTGCCCCACAGTCACACTTAATTTCATTTGTCACTTGTTATAGAGTGGAATTATATGAAGCCGGGCTATATTATTTGTTCTAGCCTGTATTGGATAATTTATTACATTAAGAAACCAATAATTTTTAAATTTAATCAGATTTAAGTTTTAATAAGATTCATTCTCCTATTCACACTTGCTTAATTTAAGGATATTAAATCTGCTCAGGAATGAGCTGCCTCTCAAAGCCTCATATGTCTATTAAAGGATTTTATTCCTGATGTGTTAATAGGATTTAATTATATTAGCCCTATAGTCCAGAGACACATCACAGTTTTTAAACTGATAAAGCAAGCAAACATCATGCTAAAAAAGTAATGGTCAGCTATCTTTTAAAAAGAATATTAAGGCTTGATAATTTTTACTGTCTCTGTGTTGTGTGAATTTTCATCATACTGAAATTTAAAATTTAGAATGCTGAACACAGTGGAAGGTAAACTTCCTTTTCTAAATGAATTTAAAACAAGGTTAACACAGAAGTTAACAAATCCAGTTTAAATGAATGCTCTATCTCTAAATTGCTCCTTATCTCTGATTCAAAGAGATTTATTTAAACAAACTTCTAGCTTTCTTTCACCTTTCTTTTGACTGTTGAACTCAGGGTTTTGTGCATGAAACAGAACTGCAGCAAGTTGTTATGAAAACTGAAGATATTAAATATTGCCTGGATTTCTTTCTTTCCTGTGGCTAATTAGGTTTAATGACAAACAGTGGAGGAAATGGAAAACAATTGCTTGGGGACCGTCTACTGTGGCATGGTGGGAGAGACAGGCAGGGGAGGGAGGCACAGACTGCTGTAGTCTGTAAATCTTGTCAATTTCTCCATCAGCATTATTTGCATCGATCAAAAGTGTTGGCTCTTGTCAAGTTCATATGAAAGCTAAATGTACAGAAGTCAGTGTTTCTGATGGCTGCATAACTCTGAGATGGAAAAAACTACAAGATTTGCATAGAATCACAGAGAAGAGGAAAAAAAACCCATAGCAATATCCTATCCAGTTGGATACTTTGCTTCCAAAATTAGGTTGACGCATGTTATGGCACATTTCCACCAGTAATCACAGACACACCGCATATATTTCAGGAAGATGTAGGCCTGATTTTTCCTCTCATTTATACAGAGCTAGACTTTGAGCCCCCCTTTGAGCACATAGCGTGGGCTGCTTTTATTTGGGGAAACTAGAAATGTAAAGGAGGATCTTAGCTTTCTTTTTTTCCCCCCAAAGTAATTTTCTGGCACTTCTCCTTGCCAAGATAGCCTTGAAAATGTAAACTGGTATAAACAGACCTCTAGCTTAGGAAGGGACAAACAGCTGGACTGTACTTTTCCAGCAGAAGGTTGGCGAGGAGGATATAAAGATTTTGCGTCAGGTTTGGTTTTGGTTTGGCCCCTTTATGCAACTAGAATGGAACAATGGACCAGTAAGCTGGGTGAGGTCAGCTTAGAATTCTGGCAGGATTGGGAGGTGTAACAGGGTGAGGGTGAGCACGCTCTGTGGACCCTCAGGCTGGGGATATCCAGACCCTTTTGTTACCAGAGGGCCACATAATCTCAGCCAAGAACAGGGCTTTTGCTTTTGTTATTGTTCTGCATTTCCTTTTGTTTTGTATTGGAATATAAACAGAGCCTTGAAAAAAGGGGCTATAAATGGAACTGGGTGTGGCTGATTGTTTGTCCCAGACTGATGATCCAATCCACAAGTATACAGGGGCATAACTGACTCTTGCCCCATTGCCCAGTTCTGCCACAGCACTTGGGCATGTTGAGGTGGGGGAGACGTCGGACTACAGAGAAAAGCTTGAAAACCTGAACCCTAAAGTCTAAACAACCAGAAGGTAAATAGAAAGAACCTCACATGTATTATTTGTTTTAAAATCTCATGGTCTTTAAACCAGTCTCATGATTTTAAATACTTGAGATTGACAATTCTGGGAGTGTGGCTAAAGCATCCTGTGCACCAGCTGTGCTTAAGGGCTAGTTCTCAAGGGAGTGCAGATCAACCGGGAGAAACAAGAGGCCACAGTTAACTCTTTGACAGCCCTATGAGCACCTCAATGAATTTGGGTTTCCCTCTCAACATGGTAAGGCTGGCTCTGCTTTTATTCCCACATAACTTCTTTGACTTCAGTGATGTTACTCCTGATTTATGCCTGTGTAAATGGATAGTGTATTAGGACTGTGATGTAGCTTTTATGTTAAGAGTTTTATTAAAAATTGATTAGATTGTTAATTCAGGTATGTCATCACTTGCTCGGGAGGTTTTATTTCTCTGTTTATATATGTGTATGTATATATTAAATGTCAGCAGAGTCAGGATGAGCTCTACCCTGACATCTGGTGGTGAATTATGGCGAGTGTGGGAAAGAACTCCAGGGGC